TTGATGGCGTTATATAAATGGCGACGTCAGGAACCATATTTAGATGAGCAGCGGGGCAGGGGACCCGGTGCGACAGGGTGACTAATAGATTTAGTGCCGGCTTATGGGTTCTGTAATAGACAAAATTAGGAGTGGTTTTTTTTTTAGCGGGGTATATATATATATATATATATATATATATATATATATATATATATATATATATATATATATATATATATATATATATATATATGTTACAAAACAAACCAAATTAGGGGATATGAAAATAGACGTATAGGCGGCAGAGACAGGCAGCAGAGGGGGTGGGGTGGAATGGGCGTTTTTAGGGTTTAGATAAAGAAACCTAGGAAGGCAACTTGATGACCGGGGATAAATGATAAAGCGCGACTCAAGCGCCATCATTATCATCTGTGTCATGGCAGCGAAGGTCGACCGCTCAGGAATGGTTTGAGCTTTAGAAAAAAGGAGAAAGTACGTCAGAAGAGTGGGCGGCTTGTCATAGTGTTTTAGCTGTTGGAACTTCAGGAGGGTTTAGGTTTTAGTAAAAATGAAAACTTTAGCAAAGTGGCTATATTATTGGATATTGACAGCTCCTAAAGGGTTTGAGTTGAAGTAAAAAAAAAAAAGGGGGGGGGGGAGGAATTTATGGCAAAACGGCAACCTTTGTGTTATAGCAGCGATTGCCGATCACTCAGGAAGGGTTTGTGTTGAAGTAAAAAGGGGAAAATTCCGGACAGATAAAAAGAGTAATGAAGATGTCTAGTAGGAAACTAAAATACTGGACCGACTGTAGGTCTAATTCTTTTCAATTTTGGGTCAATCAGTAGTTCTGAAAACGTTGCCGTATCAGCAATCTTTGCCTCATGCATAAACATAATAATGCGACCCAAGAGTCACCTCTGTTCAACTGGTCGCCCTTGGTTTCACCTCTAAAGATGGTGCTCTTTGCCCGCTGCGACTGTAAGGTACATTTGTGTCTAGAACGTCCTGTACGTGTGATATACAGTTAGTGAGGCAAGTATGTGGAGAACGCTCACGACTCGGTGTACTGGCCATGACGACTTGCATAGCCTCAGTTTGCTTGCGTTCCGGTTTCTCTATTTGGGTGTGAGATTATGTGAGCAGTCTTAGACCATACCCCTCCACAGAAATGAACAGCTGCTAGTAGAGTTTATACAACACTCTCTGGTTCATATCTACTGACGTTATCAACTTCGATGTGTTCATTTCCAAACTTTAACACCAACTCTTCTAGAGGATACTTGGAGGGTGGACTTTCCTGTAAGCTCACTCCCACTTATTATGAAGTTCAGTAACTATTCTATCAAACAACGAAGAGTACGATGCTGCTTCTTTATCTCACTTGATGATGGCGCCTGTTTCTTCACAAGGGTAACCTACTTTATATCTTGCAGTCTGCACTTCTCTAGACATGCCTGTCCGGAATTTTCTTGTCACTCGTTCTTTAAATACCATCTCCGCCTCTTGCGCCGCCTCTGACCTACAACTTAATCCCCTCATGAGCGGTAATATCTAACCATATGACACAACAGTTCTCCTTTTTTACTATAGTTCAACCATATATGTACGGTCAGAACCCGACACTTTAATACACCAGTCGTCCTTTTGCTATTTTCCCCCCTACTACTTAAACTACTACTGAGCAGCCAGCCTCCTTTAATATATCACAACGGCCGCCACTTTGCTAACGTTTTCCTTTTTACTGCACCACAAACTCTTCCTAAGCTACCAACCTCTAACACTATAACAAGCCACCCGACCTTCTGTTGTACGTTCTCCTTTTTACTACAGTTCAAACCATCCCTGAGCGGCTGGCATTCGCTGCTATGCTTCAAGGATCGCGGTTTTGCCTTAGATTCCCCTTTTTACTTCAACACAAACCCTCCCTGAGTGATTGGCAATCGCTGCTATAACACAAAGGTTGCCGTTTTGCCATAAACCACCCCCCCCCCCCCTTTTTTTTTTACTTCAACTCAAACCCTTCAGGAGCTGTCAATATCCAATAATATATCACAACGACCGCCACTTTGCTAAAGTTTTCATTTTTACTACAACCTAAACCCTCCTAAAGTACCAACTGCTAACACACTATGACAAGCCGCCCACCCCTCTGACGTAGTACGTTCTCCTTTTTACTACAGCTCAAACCATCCCTGAGCGGTCGACCTTCGCTCCCATGACACAGATGATGATGATGGCGCTCGAGTCGCGCTTTATCATATATCCCCGGTCATCAAGCCGCCTTCCTAGGTTTCTTTATCTGAACCCTAAAAACGCCCCCCCCCCCCACTCTGCCGCTAGTCACTGCCACCTATACGTCTATTTGCACATTCCCTAATTTGGTTGGTTTTGTAACATATATACATACGTACACCGGAGTTTAGCTGTCAACACAACCCGACATAATAATAACAGATGACGACTGGACCCGCTTAAGTCTCCACATAAACTCTCACATACATATCCTAACCCTTTCATATTACAGGAAGACAACTATAAGACCACTATGGTCACACGCGGAACACTTTCACATTTCGGAACTATTCAAATTCAAAAACTGTTTTCAGTACTTTTTGGCAAAATTTAAATACTCAAAATTTTAAAACAATAAATGGTAGTCCAAAAGACGTTGTGTATGGAAGCTCGCTCTCCTTCGAGATACGCCTAGCCAGATCAAAGGGAGACAAAACAAACAGGAAACACAAAGAAAGAAGAAGTAAGACATGCACCAGTGACAAGAGGACGAGCGGTTTGATTCGGATGGAAGCATCAAACCCAGAAATGGCACAAACACTAAAATTCAGTCACGAAATTAACGCAAATAACACAGACCACAAATATAGGTGGAGACTACTAGCAGCCTCGGCTAGCTAGCAGCAGTTAGATCGTGGTCGAGCTTTTTTTTCCTTTTCTTAAAAGGACTTGGACTTGGAAGAGAACCGCGCCCTCTGCAACCTGAAAAAAGTAATCACTATTGTCTGTGGAGGCTTAATCATCTGCCACTTTATCAAACATTTGGCCCTGCACTAAAGAAATCCGATTAACTTACCCCGTAAGAAAATACCAACACCCAGGGAGAGACAAAGTATTGATTTCCTATACCTTTCCTCTAAAACCAATCACTCGTGCTGTCATCACCCGCCCGATCGATATTTACTAAGGATAAAGAGGGCGGGTGCTAACCCGCTGGAAAAAACCAATCACTTATGGCCGCCATATTTTACTAAGGCTAAAGAAGGATCGATTTCCCAAATGATACCTCTAATACGTTAGTATACTACTAATATTTTTCTTAGAATTTTAAAATATAGGCTTGTGGAAAAGGTTAGAAATGTAGCATCTTAAGAAAACACTAAAAAAAAAAAAAAAATACTTCAGAAAATCTTCTTTTAAATAGACATGTCCATATAATATTGTTTGCGGACTATCCACACCAAATTTCATGTTTCCAGTCTTTGTAGTAGCTGAGATTTTTAGGATTTTACACACACAACAAAGAGAAAAACAGAACTGTGAGAAAACCGACTGTTAACCTTTTTTTATCTTTAAAAAGTGGATGGTTGCTGTCTTTAGTATTACATTTTTAAAGCTCAGTTGCAACAATGATATAAATCTTAGGCTCTCCTTTCAACTTCGGCCGGTAGATAAACATCGACGGCCGGTTAGTCGGAGTTATGTCCCCTTGCTACAGTGCAATTACGGACTGGACAGGAGGGAACGAAACAAATGGCATAATTACTGTGTTTTGCCGATAGACAGCATACGGTTACGGTTCGGGTTTTAGTTAGGGTTAGGGGTAGGTTTAGGGTTAGGGTTAGGGTTAGGGTTTGGTTTAGCGGTAGGATTAGGTTTAGGGTGTGGGTTAAGGTTACTATCGCCGCATCTCGTCTTCTCACAAACTCATAGTAGCAACCCGAACCCTAACCCTAACCCAAACCCTACCCCTAACCCTACCCCTAACCCTAACCCTAGGGCACTGCACGCTGTCTATCGCCGACACACAATAACTATGTCACTTGTCTCGTTCCATCTAGTCCAGGCCGTAATGCGTCGGACGAAGCGGTAATTGAACGCGGTCGCTAATTTGAGTGGCAGCGCGGGGTCTGCATGTCGACCTCACTGTGTTGTTTGTTCGTGCCGTCTCCAGTCCGTAATTGCACTGTAGCAAGGGGACATAGCTCCGACTAACCGGCCATCGATGTTTGTCTACCGGCCGAAGTTGAAAGGAGAGCCAAATCTTGTATGTAGTCTGTTCTACAAATGCCGAACTTTACAAAAAAGAACACATAGAAAAAGTGATATTTTTGTCATAAATTGAAACAAATGCCGTGTAGGTGCATGTTTGGAGATTGTCGGTTCCTTTCTCCCAAATACATTGCTAGCTTCTTTTTCTTACCGCTGATGCCACAAACACACATTCTTACATTTCCCTGATTTCTTCAACTTCCTTGAAATTTATATCATTTCACTTTCATCGATTTCTTTAGGCATATTTTTTTTTTATTTGTGCATATTATTTTCGTTGCTTGTCTTTAGCCGTTTCCCACCCATTCCCTGGCACGTGTTACATTAAAATTACATTCGAACTGCAAATATTTAACTTGCTTTAAAACTACAAAATTTGTGGTTCCTTATTTTGTAAAAAAAAAACCAAACAGCTTAGACTATTATGTTTCGTCATCTGATAGATTACATTATTTAAGTTAGGCCAGAACTTGAGAGTTGTCTGTCCGTTGGAACATTCACCAAAAATATATTGTTTGGGTGTTCGGGAGTTTCAGGAACAAACACACATGCAATGATTCACAAAGTGTTCTTTACTATTTTAAAGTTGACATAAATAGCATGACAGCAGAATTAAAACGGGAGCACACGTTGTGAAACAATCAACAGCTGACTGTATGTGTCGGTTTCGTTTTGTCTGTTTCCACTGTGTCTGCAGACAGTCAAACAAATCAATCCCACTCTCTTCTTAACTAACCGGACAACAGACGTCCCAAACTGGGAGTTTGCAATGATGGCGCATTTACAGTTGTGCCTCGGAATTCAAAACATCCAACTTCTTTTTTTGTGATCGGATCTCTGAAGCGTCCAGTTATTTGATAATTGCCCTAGTAAAAAAAAAAAAGAATATAAAAAAAAAGGAACCGTATGATTGTTGTGGTGTGTGTGTGTGTCGTATGACTGTATAGTGTGTTTGTGTGTGTGTGTGTGTGTGTGAGTGTATGGCGTCAGTTTGACAAAAAACATATGAAACTAAAGCATGCTGTAAATTACATCTATATGTATGTGCGTGTGTGTATTGACTGGTCGCCCACGCCAGTCGGCAATATTTTTTATTATATATATATATAGTAGAGGGACTGGCCTAGAAACGACCATTTCAATGTTACAGTCACGGCCTAAACTTAACTGAAACATTGCACAACTTAATAATCTATTCGAAATTATTCAGAAAGAGGGTAATTTTTTATTTTTTTATTATAAAGAGGCATTATGGTTGAATACATGGTCTAATAACAAATATTTTTAAAAATTTTATATAACAAGTCATCGATTTTGTTGATATGCGAAATTCTCCAGGCTAGCGATACATAGGTCTGGTAAATCCATGTGACACTAGCGTCACGAGCTGTGGGTAACCAAGATTCAATGACAGCAGTGTCACGCCTGGGTGCCCATATGGATTCTCTGTTTAGATAGTGCTTTTCAATGCATAGACAAGCAGACAGCAGTAATAGATATTGGGAGAATGATAACGTTTGCCGACGATGTCCTAGTTTACCAACAGGGGGAATGGACGTCTAAACTCTAGACATGTCTGTCTAGAGAAGTGCAAACTGCAAGATATAAAGTAGGTTACCCTTGTGAAGAAACAACGGAAACGAACACTCAAAAAACTGGGAGAGGCAGCCGAAAGGGCCTCTAGCTGGCTTTGGACGCAGCGCAACAACGTAGGGGACGGGCCTCGGTGAGCTGGTCCGGGTGTCTAGCGGAAAAGAGTTTCTCATCCCTTTGAAAGTCCATCGTGTCCGAATTGTCTGCCAGTGTCCCTCTGCCAACTGCTAATAAAAGTCCAACATGTGTCCGGTAAACCAAAGTAAGCTTGTCGCTCGGTCGTCCAGGCATGCTGACTGCTTTAATTAAGCTGCCGCGGCGGCTTCTTATCTCACAGTACCTCCTTCGAAACCACCAAGTCGTCTTGTCTCTGGCCGAAAGTATAACACCATCCGGTAATTCCGTGCAGCGGGGAACCAGCCCTGAGCGTCATGAACTCAGGAGGGCCCACCTCCGAATACGTCTAGGAATCGTGGGCCGAAACGTGTGTCGACGAGGATAATTTCTACTGATGACTGGTAGATCCCCGCTGTACTTGCTCCCTGTGAGTTTATTCCTATCAGGACAAGATTTGTATAGAGTTCTCTGTTCTAGAAACAATGAAATCTAACTGCTTATACTTCAAAGGAGAATGAGGATGATATAAGCACGAACTAGCTACTTCACTGACATATTTAAAACACATGATAATAGTATTCAGGCTAAAGTTTTGTTATTATTCATTATATACAAGGAAATGTCACAGGAAAATGAACAATTACAAATGAACAACTTACGGTAAGGACGAGTGACAACAGGCTGCACAAACTCAAAATACTTTTCCTGACGATCCCCGAGCATGCAGGCAGTGTATACGTCCCTGCAGCTATAGGGCCTATGCAATTGAGATTCAGTTGTGCCGGAATATCGGGACAATTCCCTATGCGAAAAAGCCGGAGGAAAGTGCATATGTCCGGATAGGTGCTAAATTAACAACGAGAAGAAAAAAAGCTGGTAAAATATATGGATATTAAGCATGCGGTTATACAAGCGTGCAAACATATACAAGTATGTCATTTAGAAAAGACGTTGGAGTGGCAATTCGGTCCTTTACCCTATTTACAACAGAATTCCAACTGAACCGAGAGCTGCTTGCGCATGTATATGTTGTGTCTAGTTCAGGATGTGGAAAAGGGAACAATATGTTGTGTCTAGTTCAGGATGTGGCAAAGGGAACAATATTTTGTGTCTAGTTCAGGATGTGGCAAAGGGAACAATATGTTGTGTCTAGTTCAGGATTTGGCGAAGGGAACAATATGTTGTGGCTAGTTCAGGATGTGGCGAAGGGAACAATATGTTGTGGCTAGTTCAGGATGTGGCAAAGGGAACAATATGTTGTGGCTAGTTCAGGATGTGGCAAAGGGAACAATATGTTGTGGCTAGTTCAGGATGTGGCAAAGGGAACAATATGTTGTGTCTAGTTCATGATGTGGCAAAGGGAACAATATGTTGTGTCTAGTTCAGGATGTGGCAAAGGGAACATTATGTTGTGGCTAGTTCAGGATGTGGCAAAGGGAACAATATGTTGTGGCTAGTTCAGGATGTGGCAAAGGGAACAATATGTTGTGTCTAGTTCAGGATGTGGCAAAGGGAACAATATGTTGTGTCTAGTTCAGGATGTGGCAAAGGGAACAATATGTTGTGTCTAGTTCAGGATGTGGCAAAGGGAACAATTTTTTGTGGCTACTTCAGGATTTGCCTAAAGGATGAGAACAATATGTTATGGCTAGCTCAGGATGTCGCTAGAGGATGAGAACAATATGTTGTTTCTTGTTCAATTATGTGGCTAAAGAATAAGAACAATATGTTGTGCTTAGTTCAGGATGTCGCTAGAAGATGAGAACACTATGTTGTGTCTTGTTCAGTTATGTGGCTAAAGGATTAGAACACTATGTTGTGTCTTGTTCAGTTATGTGGCTAAAGGATTAGAACACTATGTTGTGTCTTGTTCAGTTATGTAGCTAGAGGATGAGAACAATATGTTGTGTCTTGTATAATTAATGTGGCTAGAGGATGAGAACAATATGTTGTGGCTTGTTCAATTAATGTGCCTAGAGGTTGGCCATAGTATGATATAGCTAAATTCGCATAAGGAGGGGTACAGTTTACTGTGGCCAGGTACACTACGTGGCTAGAGCACGAAAAAGCACAAATGTGTCTAGCTCTGCTCAATACTGTTTGTAGAGACAAAAGTGTCATTTTCTAAACTATGTATATTAGATTATAAACCAGAAGGGCTGAACAGGATCAATCCTGTTACGTTACAATTACATCCAAGAATGGGGTGTTCATTAGCATTGAAAACCACACTAATAAAAGGTAAAGTCAGGAGACGTGAACCAACGTCATTTCACACGGTTATAAATTATAAGTGCTCTGCCACCATTACGGACAGCTGATAAAACTGTCCGTCTGTTTCGCCGTCCGCACGTAACTCTGTAGCTACAGCGACGTTCCTCCATTTACCCCAGAGTATCACTCTGGTACCCATTTCCTAGAGGCTGGGTGAACCCCGGGAACCGCCCAGTTTCGAACACCGACCGTGATTGCAGCGAGTCGCAGCTGGATTTGAAAGCGAGCCTCCTATCGACTGCGCTAACGCGGCACACTAATTAGCTCCAGATAGACACCTACCATGCTAACCGGTTGTTGCGAGGAAGACGTGTCCATCTCGATAGAACCTTTTTACTGATGGCGACATCAACACTCAGGTTCCGGTCTAGTGATTGTGTAAACTCGATGGCCAAGAAATCGGAGATAGAACCTGGTAATACAAACGGGAGAGGGACAATATCCTTTTTTCTGATGATGACGATGTCACTACTTCGGTTCTGGGCTGGAAAGAAAGAAAACTGTGATCATCAATAAATGCACTGTGTATGTATGAGCCTGCTGTAGATGTACTGGGCCATTGGTGGCTCAGTGGGATCATCACAGCTTTCTGAAATACATGACATAATGTGAACTGTCCGAAATTTTATGAAAATACATATATCCATTCGTCTGTATATTTATTGTTGTTCAAGTCAGAAAGGTGGAACACAATATTACTCTTACTAATTTTACCACCACCAGAGGGGCGTAGAGACGAATGGGTAGGTAAATTAATGCGTGAATACATAGATCAATGGGTAAGTGTTCTAACTGATGGATATCTGAATGGCTAGACAGACAGAGGACAGACCGATGGCTGGACCGAGGGACACACACAGACAGACAGATCAATAAACAGAGAGATAAGCAGAGAGATCAATAAACATCGAGACAAACAGACAGCAGACAGACGGACAGATAGATAGATTAGATAGATTAGATGGATAGATAGATAGATAGATAGATAGATAGATAGATAGATAGATAGATAGATAGATAGATAGATAGATAGATAGATAGATAGATAGATAGATAGATAGATAGATAGATAGATAGATAGATAGATAGATAGATAGATAGATAGATAGATAGATAGATAGATAGATAGATAGATAGATAGATAGATAGATAGATAGATAGATAGATAGATAGATAGATAGATAGATAGATAATAGATAGATAGATAGATAGATAGATAGATAGATAGATAGATAGATTAGATAGATAGATAAATAGATAGATAGATAGATAGATAGATAGATAGATAGATAGATAGATAGATAGATAGATAGATAGATAGATAGATAGATAGATAGATAGATAGATAGATAGATAGATAGATAGATAGATAGATAGATAGATAGATAGATAGATAGATAGATAGATAGATAGATAGGCAGACAGGAGGCAAACAGACAGACAGACAGACAGACAGACAGGAGGCAGACAGACAGACAGACAGACAGACAGACAGACAGACAGACAGACAGACAGACAGACAGACAGACAGACAGACAGACAGGCAGGCAGGCAGACAGATAGATAGATAGATAGATAGATAGATAGATAGATAGATAGATAGATAGATAGATAGATAGATAGATAGATAGATAGATAGATAGATAGATAGATAGATAGATAGATAGATAGATAGATAGATAGATAGATAGATAGATAGATAGATAGATAGATAGATAGATAGATAGATAGATAGATAGATAGATAGATAGGCAGACAGGAGGCAGACAGGCAGACAGACAGACAGGAGGCAGACAGACAGACAGGAGGCAGACAGACAGACAGACAGACAGACAGACAGACAGACAGACAGACAGACAGACAGACAGACAGACAGACAGACAGACAGACAGACAGACAGATAGACAGATAGATAGATAGATAGATAGATAGATAGATAGATAGATAGATAGATAGATAGATAGATAGATAGATAGATAGATAGATAGATAGATAGATAGATAGATAGATAGATAGATAGATAGATAGATAGATAGATAGATAGATAGATAGATAGATAGATAGATAGATAGATAGATAGATAAATTTACTTACAACAACGTCTCACTTCAACTGCAACACCCCGACCGCCTGTAAAAGCTGCCACAGCAAGAACGACAACCGTATATTTAACTGGGCCCATGCTGGTTGGTCACGATCTTCAGAAGAAATGAGATGATTCGGCCACCTGACAACAGTTTTATATACACATTTGAGCCTGATTAATGACCGGAGCAGTTTGTGACCCTGGGCCATGTCCTTTTGGTTGTCAGACAAGTGGATATGGTTCACGTGACAGAAACAACAACAAGACGACCTTCTGTTGGGCCGAAGTTAAACCAGCTGCAGAATTTATTGACTATTTGTGGTTTTCCTACAGTGGCTTGCGGCTGCCTTGCACATAGGCAGGGGAGGGATAGGAAACAGATCAAGTGCTACAGGCAACAGTGGACACAATGACTGGCTGAAGTAGGGAAATGAGTGCTTTCAACAATCCGGGAAAAGTGACGGTTTAAAATGCACTCTGGATAATAGATTTGTTAGAACGGATGTCCAAAGCCTCACAATAAATAACAGAAACATCAAAAGTGAGGATAGGTTGAGGTACCTAGGCACCACCTTCGATACAAGCCTGTCATTTAGGGACCTTGTGGAGGCAATGGAGCAAAATGCTTAGAGGGCTCAGTGGACTTGGCATTCAGACAGCGATAGACATGGAGCAATAAACTGCTGTCCATAATGTACTAGCACTTGACTTTTTCTGCGATGGATTATAGACTAGGGGTATCGAAGAGTCAGCCGGTGAAGCTTGAACGCATACCGAAAAAAGCCATGCGGGAGATTCTAGGAGGTACAGGAGACACCCCAGTAGTCTGCAGACGATACATCCGTGCACTGCCGACTATTGTAAACAGGCTTGAAGTGTAGCAAGCTAGGTCAAACCTCAGAGTACCGCCGACATAAATCGCCTTCCTCTTGAACCTCTGCTAAGCCTGCTAAGGATTGCAGGCTGGTTAGAATGAAGTCTTACATGGCACAAGCAGAACATACAAGTATAAATGTGTATATGTTTGAAAGAAATTGGAGAGGAGTGAGACAAAGTGGCATAGAAAAACACAGGTTTGTGAAGGTTTCTATTCACACTTGACCAGGAGTGCAAGGACTGGCCAGCAGGCACTACGGAATCAGTGATGTGTTTGTTCGTTAGAAAACAAAAAGGGAAAACTTACTAATGGTTCAACTGGCTGCGCATCAGTTATTTTAGGGGGGGGGGGGGGGGGGGGGGGGGGGTTTTCTTTACTGTTTAATGTTAATATTGTGTTTCTCTTTGGCGTGCAATTACACCCGAGTCTACGATTCCTAGCTTTTCACGTCTGTTGTGGTCTCGGTCATGGTAATTTCCTGCAATTGTCTTTACTGATGGGTCTGTGTTGAGGCGCTGCAATTGTCTATATAGATGGCTGTTTTGAGGCGCTGCAATTGTCTATATAGATGGCTCTGTGTTGAGGCGCTGCAATTGTCTATATATATGGCTCTGCGTTGAGGCGCTGCAATTGTCTTTACATATGGCTCTGTGTTGAGGCGCTGCAATTGTCTATACAGGTGGCTCTGTGTTGAGGCGTGGGGGGGGGGGGGGGGGGAAATGGACGACGCTTCGTGCAACAAAGTCCAGTGCAGCCATCAGACTGAGAATGCATGGGGAAGAATTTACGGCAGAACTAGCTGCACACACATGTCGCTCTCCGGTAGACGACTTCGTCGCCGGTCGGGAGAGTATTTGGGTCCGGCTTCTTTGATATCTTCAACACTGCAGGAGTCCTTTTCAGTGCTCTTGGTAGCCTGCAATGCTAAGTCACTTTGTGTGGCGCACATTACCTGATCACAACTATAACCTAAGGTTCCCCCTTCATTGATGTTGGTTGACCCCAACGATTTTTTTACCCCCCCCCCCACCCCCCCCCCCCCCCCCCCCCCCCCAATCCCTACGTCCGGCTATGCACCTTGCTACATGTGATGGCACTTGTTCTATGTGTGTATGCATATATATGAATGTAGGTAAATGTATGAGTATGTTTATTATGTGTGTCTATAATTGTGTGTCAGTGAATAAATATATGTTTGGGTATATATTAGTGTGTATATCTAAGTTTATGCATGTGTGAGTGTGTGCTTATGCATGACAGTTTATGCGTGGATAAGTTTGAGTGTGTGTAAGCATGCATGTATTAGTGCATATGTGTATATATCCATTGTATGTATGTGTATGTATGAATATATGTATGCTTGCATGTATGCGTGGGTGTGCATTATGTATGTGTGTGTGTGTATCGGTATGCATTTAGCTTCAATACTCTTTATTATTTACTTGATATTCCTATTACCTATTTTGAATAATGTGTTGCGATGGTATCAGCACCTATACAGACGCTAGGGAGAAATCAGCAGCAGATAGACTGCTGTGGAAGCACACAGTGAAAGACCAGCAGCTTTCTAGAGGCTAAGCGCAGCAAGCTATAGAGGGCAGACGTCTGAGAGAAAACCAGCCTCTCTATAATTTACTGTCAACCTTTGATGTGGACTATGGAGCAGTGACTGCCACTCACACATTAGGTTTTACTGTCTGTTGTAATCTTATAGTCCAAGAGTTAAAAGTTTCTTCTAGTTTCTTCTAGTGGTCATAGCGCAGGTGAAAGGTTCACACAGCGGCCACCGGTCGGGTCTGTTACCTGGGATACCAGCTAATTGAATGCTGGGCGATTAACACAAAGGCTCCTGCAGAACACAAAGGATTCGGCAGTTGAGATATTTCCATTGTCCAAGTCGGACGTGTTTCCGCGGGGTTAGCGGAAACTGTGTTGGCTCTCTGTATGAGGATATTATAGAAACGTTTTCTCTTTGTGAGGTTTTGATTTACCGTTGTTTGCGGGAGACAGTTCAATGTCTATTTACTTATTTTAATGGCAGGAGCCCATTGAGAAAAGCTGCTGTAATCTTTTATATCATCAGAATAGATAATGGAGATTTATTATCGTACATGTTTTTATTGAATAATCACCATCATCTTGTGACGTGTAACTTTAATGCCATTAAAGTTTATGTGGCCTTTCACAAGCGTTATTGTTGGCTTGTAAAGGTAGCGACTGTATTACATGATGCTGTGTCGGTGCCAAGTGTGCCAGTTATAGAATGCAGGACTTTCACTGTAGCACATCCATCAAGGAGATATCCAGCGGAATACTAGAATAGGCACCCTAGGCCTAAATACTTGGTTGAATATAAAGTATACAAAAGAATGTACAAATTAAGTGTACAACAGTGGATGGCCAAGCCGGTCCTTTGATGGATTTATAAACAGTGTTGATTTACCCAGTGTTTGTGCTACTGACTGATAATCGCTTGAACGAATACATTTAACTGTTCGCACATACACGTTATAAAT